CTCAGACATCCCATTTGTGCAATGATACACACTCTGTTTACRTCCTTCCTACACGACATCAGGTATGGCTTTCTTCTGTAGGAAACCACATGCACTGCTCCCACTTCTGGCARATGGGAATCAGAAATGTTACTTYTAGGGTWAATGCCCATTGAAAGCCAGTWTTCCACACAAAAGCAAAATGGACACAGAATTTAAGTCACCTCAGTTTTGTAGTGATAAGAAACTTCTAGACAASAGCAGGAACAGGCAGCCACACAGAACTAAGGAACAGCCAGTGGCTCATTCCACAAGGCACATTTTCAATGCCAGCATAAACTAAAGAATATTTCTGCACCTTCACTGCCTTAGTACCAGCCAAGCATAGTGACCATGACTATAGAAAAAATATGCAGAGCACAGGCCATTCGCTACTGGATGACACAGAACAGTTCTAGACAGGATGATTGCACGAGTGGTCCTTTCAAATTCAGGGGAGAATTCTCCATTCACCCAGAACAGTACTCAAAGTGAGTTTATTTTTTGTATCTAAACTCACAGTTTCATTAGCCAATGAATGGTCAAATTCCAGTGAAGGTTTTTAATCCTCCTGGTAACTGCACTTCCACACATTTTAAATAAAGAGCTGATAATTGGCAGTGGGAGATGTCAGGCCAATTTGCTCTCAACTCCACATTGTAGCTAACAAGCCTTTTTGACAACCAGAAGAGTAGAATGTTAAGTTCCACTTAACAAATTCACAGAATTAATGAAAGCAGTGTTACCACTCTATTAAAACAACCATTTGTACACTGGTTAAGAATTATGAATAATTTCACTACCTCTCAATATGTTGATTACTTATAAGAAGTACTGCACTCTACTACTACTTCGATCTCATGAATTGTAGCTCTTTTAAAATCACCAGATTAAGCAATTTATGCAATTCCTGGGACAACATGTATTTTAAATCTGTTCTTCAACCTTATTTTAAAGCCAGTTTTGCATGGATGGCCATATTCCCTAACYCACCTTCCAGCTAGCAACTAAATTAACATCAGACAAAGCTTTTTAAAAGGGACCATTATCACTCATTRAACATGAACACACACGAAAATATTCCTATATTCAGTCCAACTTTCCTCCAGTATTCCCAAGGCCTACACCTTGGGAAGACCTGCAGGACTTGGTGAATGTGTACACATGACTTCAGATTTAGTCTGTTCACATGCAGGAGATGCAGAGCCATTGAAAAAGATACCGGTGGAGTAAAAAAAAAAAAAAACAAACCAAAAAAACAAACACAACCAAAAAACCTCTCCTTTAACACACTGAGCAATTTTAAATGTGTTATGAGCCCATGACTTTGCAAGAGATGTAAATGAACTGAATGTATGGCAGAATTTCAGTTGAGCTTTTGGTACCTGGTGGTCCATTGTACTAATACTAACCTTCCCATCATAGTTTGAGAAAACCATTTGTGCTTATAAACCATCCAAATATTCTTTGTTCACTAAACTCAGTTACCTTTTCTGCCAAAAGATACATTACAGGATGCTTTGAAGTACGTGAATGGCATTTCCTGTGGCTAACAGTCAATGAATTACAACAGTACCTTTAAGGGAAATGCTACTTTCTCACTAGGTAAATAAACAGTGTATCTCCTGCAGAACATTGTAATCAAGTAACTTTTCAAGTAATTGACAARTTTTTTGAAAACTGAGTTTTCAGGCCATGAATCCTACTTGCTTTTGTTACACATATACTGTGTCCTAGTACATTACAGATTTTTCTTATGTTCTTCAAATAGCTTTCCAAATCTTGAGGTGTTTGACTTGTTAAGCACTGACAGGCCACATCCAAATTTTCAGCATATATGAGAGATGACAGACTTCATATGATTTCCACAGACTTCAGTTACATTGACAAGAGCAGACAAGGATCYAAAACCTCATCAGTCTACTAGAAAATAAACATTAGACAAAGACTGAAAGCCCACTTCAAAAACTAAGATCCCATTAGTTAAATATCCTCTCAAAAGCAATTTTCCTAACAAACTGCCAATATTTACTCTCTATATCCCAATCTATTTATGTGGTACATCACCAGAAATAATTTTGCATCAGAGAAAGTGTATTTAATTCTACTTTGCATRTGCCACAGAAGTCAAAGAGACAAGTATTCATGTTTTGAGTTTAAAACCTCAAACTTAACCTTGGCATTAARAGGTAGCAATGTCCCTTTTACTGCCATCAGCTCAGAAAGTTAACAGAAACTTTTACTCAGTAGCTTACCTTTGCTGCTGCTGYTACTGCCTACTCCAGAACAACATCAAACCATCACGCTCATCAGAGATGCAAACTTTTGTGCCCCGTTAGAGAATATCTTACCCATTTACACCCTCTGATGGGGTGGAACAACCTACTTCTACACACAAAATGCCTGTCTTGAAAAGAATCGTTCCAGTGCCACAGACAAGTCTCTAAATACATCAATGATATGCTCTTTGAGGATCAAAAACTTTCAGTAAGTCTTAATAATTCAAAGAAGCATGAAAAAACCCCAATACGTTAATATTGCTAGACTTGCATTTTTACTTCACAGGTTAAATAGTGACATTGGAAGAAATTATTATCGGAGTAGTTTGCCCCCGAACTACACAAACTTAATTTTTCCGTAGAGTGGAGAAAGCCACGGTGTGAGCTTTAGTCAAAGCACGCTAACTCCGAACTAGGATAGAAAGTCTCCTCTGCCTGCGGCAAGAGAAAGGTGGAAGAGGCCGAGCGGCGCCCAGAGTGGCACGGTAAACAAGAGAAGATGCGGCGCTGCGCTGGGCTCGGTGCTGGGCGGCCAAGGGACCGGGCAGGGCCGAGCACCGCCCGCCCCGCCGAGGGCCGCAGGTCCCGCCAGGGCCCGGGGCAGCGCCCAAGGCCTGCACGGGGCACCCCGGGCCCGCCGCCGTTCCCGGGCAGACAGCCGGCGGGGCGGGAGCGGCTCTGGCAGGCTCAGCGGTTCCGTGCGCTGCTCCCGACACCGCCCGCCACACCGAGACCGCGGGGCGCTCGGAGCCTCGGGCGGGCAGCGCTGCGCCGGCCGGCCCGGCCACAAGGCAGGAGCCGCGGGGCCCGCACGGCCCTGGCCGCCGCTCCCGTCCCATCCCGTCCCGTCCCG